GCGGTGCGGGCGGGCAGCGGGGCCGGGGGCCGCGGGCCGCCCCTCCCGCATCCCCGCCCGGCGCCGAGCCGGGCCGGGCCGAGCCGAGCCGAGCGGGCCCCGCCGCCCCTGCGCCTCTCCGCGCCTCCGCCTGCGCTCCGCGCCCCCCGCGCCGCCCCGCACCGCCCCCGGCCGCGGCGGCCATGGGAAATGTAGTCCGGGGCCGCCCGCCCCGGCGGGCTCTCCGGGCAGGGGGTGGGTCTTGGAGAGAACCTGGAGCCGGGCATCCCCCCCGGCATCCTCTGACTTCACCCCGGCATCCCTGGGCGTGGCCCCGGCATCTCCCCGGCATCCTTCAACATCTCTCGGCATGGCCTCGGCATCACCTGGCGTCCCCCCGGCATCCCTCTGGCACGCCCAGCGTCACCTGGCATCCCCTCGGGTCCCGTGACACGGCCCCAGCCGCCGCTCCAGCATCCCTGGCATGCGCCCCACATCACCTCGGCGTCCCCTGGCACGGCCCCCGCATTCCCCAGGATCTCCTGGCATCCTTTGGCAGCTCCCCAGAGTTCCCGCGGCCCCAGCACCGCTCCCGCAGCCCTTCCAGCTCCCGGCTCCCACCCCGGCACCCCCATTTCTGCTGTCCAGCCTCTGGGGTTCGGGACACTCAGGGCTGAGGCAGGTTTGAACAGTCCCTGGGGCAGCGCAGCCCCGGGCAGGGCCGGGAGAGCCGGACCAGAACTCGGCTGCAGCCCCGGGCAGGAGAGCAGGAGCCTGTCCCAGCCGGGGGCCCCCTCTACCCGGCTGCTTTGTGCCCCCCAAGCTCTGCAGAGCCCGGGCAGGAGCTGGGGCGATGCTCCCGCCCTGCCCGGGGCGCGGAGCCCCCAAAGGGCGGCTCTGCCCACGCTGGCATCGCTCTGTTTGAAGGGCACTAGATTGATTTAATTGCTCTGGAGCATCTTGGTGTCCAATAGACAGAATCTACCGATCCTCCTGAGGATGGGAAACCTGCTTAGGGAACGCCCCTTGACGCTCCCTGAGGGCAGGCGCATCTTCCCCATCCCGGTTTCCCTGTCCTGGATCTGGACCCGACCCGCGGGGACGATGGGAGCCGCGCTCGCAGGGCTGAGTGCCACTGCCAGCCATGAGCAGAGAGCCCCAGGGCAGTCCCTGCGCTGGGCTGGGAGCTCTGCTCGCACATCCCCGGCTCCCGGCCCTTTTCCACCTGTCCGTGTTCCACCCTGCCAGAGCCGGGTCAGGAGAGCCGCGCTCACTGTTGGATTCCGCAAAGTTTCTGCTCCTTTGCAGCCCCGCAGCCCTTGTCCTGTCCCTTTTCTCAGCTGAAAAATGGGCTAGGAAGGAGCCCCAGGATTTTTACAGCCCGAGCACCGGAATACAGAGAGGTGGGGGTGAGGGATCTGGGCTCCTGCTGCAGGAACCCAAAACCTCTGATGATGCCCAGTGTGGGTTTTTTTCCCAGGGCGCCCTCTCCTCCCGGTGATGCTGTTGTTGCACCATATCCCCATTCTCTCTCAGGATCTGGGAATGTTTTACAGCCAGGCAGCTCCTGGCATCTCCTCTGGCATCAGCTGGTGCAGGCTCAGCACTTCCTCTCCCCGTTTTTCCATTCTAAATGGCACCATTACTGCGGGATGCAAAAAGCAGATATTTTATGTGGTGTCTGGGGGTGGAGACAGGGAATTCTGGCTCCTTTGAAGAGGGACAAGGAGCTGCACAGCTCAGAGCTGTTATTCCCACCATGGTGCCAGCAAGAGGCTCCTTCCATGGGCGCAGGAAGGGTGACCCTCACGGACAACACCGAGAAAATCCCTGTGGCACACGGTTACAGCGCCTAGCTTCTCCTGGACCAGCGGCAGCTCCAAAACACCCTGTCAGGGCGGATGTTCTTCGCCTTCACCAGCGCAGTGCTGCCAATAAGGTCAGTGTGAGAGCCTGACGCCGCCGGCTCTGACCCGCCCTCCTTCACATGGTGACAGCGCTGTCCCTCCCGTCCACCCCAGCACCTCGGGGCCTCTCCAAGATCTGATAGCGTCGGCCCAGATGGGTCAAAGCCAATTAATGTCAGAGCAGCCAAATGCAGTGGCGAGCCATCTGACAGAGCAGCGCTGATGGGAGCACGTGCAGGTGCAGCACAGGCTCCTCCTGCCCCACAGCCTCTCTCCTGCCCCACAGCCTCTCTCCTGCCCCACAGCCTCACTCCTGCCCCACAGCCTCACTCCTGCCCCACATCCTCACTCCTGCCCCACAGCTTCACTCCTGTCCCACAGCCTCACTCCTGCCCCACAGCCTCCCTCCTGCCCCATATCCTCACTCCTGTCCCACATCCTCACTCCTGCCCCACAGCCTCCCTCCTGCCCCA